GGCTCCGAGGCTGGCCCCTCAGCCGCCCTGGAACCGCGGGGACAAACCGGCGGGGGGCCGCGGGAGAGCCGCGGCCGCGGGGGCTGCCGGGGGGGGAGACCGGCGGGTCCTCCCGCGGAAGGGTGGCCGGACGGGGGAAGAGTTTGGCTCCGCGGCTCCCTCTTGCCCCGGCGGCTGTGTGAGCCCGCGGGCAGGGAGGGCGGGTCGCCGTCCCCGCGGCGTTGCGTGGCGCGGAGCAGCTCCGGGTGGGGGGGGGTATAAGGCGCGGGGAGGGGGCTCCGGCAGTGGCAGCCGTGGGACCCGCTCGCCCTCAGCTCGGCGCTCGGCGCAGGGACGGCGGAGCAGAGCCCCGCTCCCGGCCAGGCGGCTCACGAGTGGCAACCCCGTCCAGCCCTTGCGCAAGTCGCCGTGACACTATTGCAGACCCTGAGCGTGGGGATTGGCAATGCTTCCTGTTAAGCAGAACATCTGCCTCGTTAAACAGGACGCTTAATAAATCCATAATATTGAGATTTTTTTTTTTTTTTTTTCCCCAGCAGTTATAAGGTTTCTCGGTTGCCCAAAATAATTCCATGGAATCGGGGTGGTTTTAAGTAGCAGAGGATCTGCTCTGCCACCAATTCATGGAAGTACATGAACATAGCAGTAAATGGGCAGAGTGTTACATGCGAAGCAATGGTCTGCAGAAAATTTCTCCTGTTGCATACACAGTGTGCTCTGGTCATGGTGCCACTGGACTCCTTCATTAACTTGCACCTAGTGTACACCTTGCCGTTTGTACTAATTGTACAATCACAGACACTTTCAGAGTACATAACAGCGATCTCTGTTTAAAAAACATTGCCACTGAAAGGAACGCTTCTTGAGGGCCTACATTATTATTCAAATTGATGCTGAGGATGATGTAAAGAAGGAAGCCTGTTCAACAGCACTTGACTGATCTTTCTACAGCAACTTATATCAGCCTCATTATGCTGTTTATACAAACACAGTAAGATGCTGTCCCATTGGTATTACACTACTAATTGGAACTACTACTTTCAGAAAGAAAAAGTAAGTTTTAAAGGCCAAAATGGAAATCTGGTTTTAATGTATATCACAGCATTCCTTTTTTTACTGACGTCTGTTGGATTTATAATTGCAAATCCATTCTAACCTATCCAAGCACTTTGTACACTACATTTATCAGTGTATTTAATCAATACAATACTTTTCGATTGCTCTTTTGCTGTCAAGTTTCACAAATAAATACTGTCTTAATGTAATGAAAATAGACTGCATCTGGCATAAGCCCACCTGAAACGAATTCTAGGAAGCTTCCAGCCAAGGACAGGGTGGCCAATGCAAGAAGACAGTGCGGCAACTACTGCTTCGTTCTTTACAGCCACCCCAGTGTTGCCCTACATAGGTTTGATCTCGTAGGTTTGTGGCATGTGCTAAACTGGGGGCTTATTCTAGAGTTTGATTAATATGAAACTATGTGACCTTTACTTTGTAATAAACACAAAATAGAAATTTTGCAGATATTTGAGGAGAGGAGACTGGAAAGTAGGAACGAGTAGAAAACTTTGTGGCAGCTATGATTCTGAGTCTTCGTAGATCAAAGATTCATCTCTTTTTTTTCTGTTCTTTTTTTCTGGTTCAGCAATAGGTAAGCCAAGAATGTCAGTAGCGAATATCTCCGCTGTGATTTCTGCTGGAATTTCTTCTTCAGTCAAAGCTGCTGCACCTGGAGAGCAGTAACATCAACACAAAACACACAATAGCAATGTAAAAATGGCCTTCCAGATTGGTAAAATTTATAAGCAGCAGTAAGTGGATGGAATGCTTTTAAAGATGTACAAAGTAATCATGAAAAAGTATTGGTTTACTAGCTTAATACTTGGTGCATTCCTGTCAGGGATCAAATCTGCTGAATCTGCGAGGCTGCGAGCCTCAACTTGCAGTAGGTCCGTGCCTCAGAAGAGTCAAGGGGTCAAACGCAACTTTTACACACCGGCGATTTGACATGATTTTAGGATCCCAAGGAATCCAGGGATTTCAAAGTCAGTTTGTAGTGCTAGGCAGTTCCTTCAGGAGCTGTACCTTCGCTGCATGTGGCCCATTGCCAATGGCCCTAACCAGATGTAGTTCTGGACTGGTGTGGACTGGGACATGAAATATACAAAAATGTGGCACTTGTCAGCAGTTCCAATTACAATGGACAATGCCACTTGGCTGAAATCAATGCTGTAATTTGGTGTTCTAGACTGATGTAGACTGGGACATAAATTGTAGACAAATGCGGTAGTTATCAACAGCTCCATTACAATGGGCATTGCCGCCTGGATGAAATCAACACTGTAATTTGCATATTGTAGGATTCCTTTTTGCCTGTGGACTTTGGCATGTAAACCTTCCACTGTGTGTTTCTAATTTCAGTTCCAAGCCAGCAGATAAACAGCAGTGTAATCTTGTCAGGTCCCAGTTACATTTCATTGTCCGTTTATTTTTAGATACACCCATGCAATTGCTGCATGGATGAGGGACAATCTATAGCTCTACGACTATTTTTGCAATCCCACCTGAGTGTTTTTGACAGCTCTTGGCCTAACAGGGTAATGGGTTTGCAATTTAAATTACTCTGTTTGGGAATTGAAATGATCCTGCTTCTGTGCTGTGTGGAATGCTAGTCCTGTACCTGAGGGATCATAGGTGTCCGGTTCAGATCCTCCTCCTGCAGGACGCCTGCCCAGCAGGGTGGTCAGACACTGCACCAGCTCGTCCTCTGTCATATGCTCTCCTGTACACAGCAAAGCAATACCAGCCTCTTGGGTTATGGTGTCATTAGCACAAAAACTAGAAGGCAACTTGAACAAGGACAGTGTACAAACAAAACAGGACAGTTTGAAAGAAGATTCGGCTTCTCTGAGATAGAGATATACACATCACCAATCAAAATGCATGATCCCAACACAGGAAAATGTTGATTCTAAGGAAAATTGTTCTTGCATATTGCATTTTGGGCAAAAATGTTTAGCAAAGGGAGAAATTCTGATGCAGATGGCTCTTTAGGCTGCATTGCGCTTGCAGGGGCTTGTGCTTCTATTCCCACTGAAGAATTCCTGGCACAGGGCAGACCGCAGCCCGTGTAGCCCCATGTCCATGGCTGTAGCCATTTCCACACAGAGGAGGAAGAGGAAGGTGCAAGAAAGTCTTGATCTAGTATTTTGGAATAACCTGGACATAGCACTTGTTCCCAGTTAGTGGTTGGCTCATGCCCCGAAGCATAAGGTTATAGATCTGTTATGAAACTGTTCTATCTAATGTATCTATTTATGGATATTCACACCATCTGTATAAATAACTAACCTTTCTCACACTGATTCAATCCTTGGCTTCCAAGGATCTTTGTAGCAAGGAGCTTTACCAGGTGATTGTGCTGGTTTTGGCTGGGATAGAGTTAATTTCCTTCACAGTAGCTAGTATGGGGCTATGTTTTGGATTTGTGCTGGAAACAGTGTAGATAATTCAGGGATTTTTTTAGCTATTGCTGAGCAGTGCTTACACAGCGTCATGGCATTTTCTGCTCCTCACCCCACCCCACCAGCGAGTAGGCTGGGGGGTCACAAGAAGTTGGAAGGGGACACAGCTGAGACAGCTGACCCCAGCTGACCACAGGGATATTCCATCCCATAGGATGTCATGCTCAGCATATAAAGCTGCGGGAAGAAGAAGGAGGCAGGGGGACGTTCAGAGTGATGGTATTTGTCTTCCCAAATCACTGTTACGCGTGATGGAGCCCTGTTTTCCTGGAGATGGCTGAACACCTGCCTGCCCGTGGGAAGTGGTGAATGGATTCCTGGTTTTGCTTTGCTTGCATGCACGGCTTTTGCTTTACCTATTAAACTGTCTTTATCTCAACCCATGAGTTTCCTCACTTTTACCCTTCCAATTCTTTCCCCCATCTCACTGGGAGGGAAGTGAGCAAGCGGCTGTGTGGTACTTAGTTGCTGGCTGGGGTTAAACCATGACAATGATATACTGGGTTAAACAGCATTTCCCTTTACCTGCTTTAATCCTTAACTGCACTTTTGCAACAGGAGCAAGACAATAGAAGTTTGTTATTTACCTCTCTGTGGCATTGACCATAAGCATATTTACACACATCTTTACAGTGTTCTCCCTGATTCACCTGAACTAAACCATCCCATCTTTTCAGTCTTTGACACATAGATGCAGTCCAGGACTGACCAGTTTCATTCCTCCTTTCTTGTCCTGCTCTTTTTCAGTTTTATACTACCTTTCTGGAGACTGTGTGACTGGAAGAGGGAACAACGATTCAGATAAGGGTTTACTGGAAGAAGGATGCAATTCACGAAGATCCATACTCATCATATGACAGACAAGATACCTCAGGCCAGCAGAAATTTCCAGAGCAGTAAAAGAAGTGCAGCTGAGACAATAGATGTGATTATTCAATTTAAAATTTTAAGACAGGTGGCTCCACACGCCTGCCCTGGTTACCAGGCTATAGTTCCAGATTAGTTTTTTGCTGCAGTGAATACGTTCTGAAATTGAAGGCAGAACTAGCAAGCATAAAACTAATATTAGAAAAGAAATAACTCACCTCTGCACTGAAGCAGCAACAGTAAGTCTCCTCTGTCAATAACTTTGTCTCCATTCTCATTATCATAACCAAGAACGTGAAATGCTTGTTGTATTTTTTTCATTGACAAGCCAAACGCAGGTCGATGATTTATATAAAGTTTGATAAAATCCCCTAAATTGATTTTTGTCACTTGTTCTCCAGTATCCGCATACTTGCTGAATTTTACTTCATTTATCATTTCTTCAATCTAAAGATCAAGGCAAGACAGATTGTTACACGTTTTCTTTTTGAAGAGCATCGGGCCAGTTTCCGATCTCATGAATGCCAATGTACCATAATTGTGCACGTACTGGTACCACAGATGCCATGACCATATCCCAATAATAAGCTAGCACTCAGCAGCTGAGGATGGACATGGCTAACAGTTACACGCTTGCTGTTATGACAAAATTAGGTAAAGACAGGGTAACAGATACGTAGTCATTTTAGGTTTCCTCTATTTTCTTATGCTAGGCGCTTGGTGACTTTGCAGCTGTTACCTTTGCCACAGCTGTGTCTCCACTCTGGGGACAGTGGGCAGGCAAACCACAAACCAGTAAATATACCATCCTGCTACAAAAGTACATGCATGAATGTCCTGACATAACCAGGCTGCATGCAGTATATACACACCTTGGCCAGCATAAGCAATCTTGCCCCCGCCCCCACCGATCCGACATGGTCTGGTGCAGTTCTGCCACTTCTCAAGCCAAATCTGAAGTTTGCTCAGTGGGGCTGACTTCCTGCACAGCTGGATCACTTGCTCTTCTCTCAGGCAAGCGGGCAAGCACTGGCCGTGCTGGATACTATTGTTTTTCCTGAAGTCTGGTGCTGTGAGTCTGCCCGGCTGGCAGCTGTGCAGATGTGTGTCCGAAAGGCAGGATCTGCTCCATGCCTTCATTGTACTCATGCTTCAGGAGGGAGCCCCTTTGGAGATACATGGGCAGCAGAGAAATGCCGGAGAATTCCCTGTGCCAACACATACCAAGCCTGCTGCTCCCCAGGAAGGGAAGCTGATGCAAGATCTCCCTGGGGAGGACTTTGCATTCAGCCTTGGGCCTTTGTCCTTGTGTCACAAGTTTTTCCACTGAATGAAGCCTGGAGAAAGGGGAAATCTCAGCCTTATATTTCTCCCCGTAGCAAATGCCATGCCAGGCAAGAACAGTCATTTTCACTCGGCTCCGCCTGATCTGCGATTAGGTTTTATATCAGCCCCATTGAACGACAAAAGAAAAACACCAATTCCCAAAAGCTTTGCTAGTCAGGCCAGGCTGCCTTTCCTCCCTCCTGCTTTTTCTTTATTAAAACACTCTAGAGAGAGATGAACTTTCTCTCTCGATTTTAATACTGTCCTGCCTGCTTCGAGAAGCAAACTGTAGGTTGCCTGGCTTCACAACAGCTTAGCACCTCTGTTTCCATGCCTGAAATTCTGGTTTCATTTTTATTTGGGGCAAGGGAGGGTTAACAGTTATTCTTCCAGAGATATTTCCCAGGGGAGTATGTTCTCTCTCTCCCCCCAAGAGGTGAAAAAGTAATAACCCAAGGAAAAGATCTAACAAAGTACGCGGGGATAACACCACAGCTTGACACAAGGGCAGAGCAGTCATGGCTCAGATGAACATTTGCTGGTTGCAGGGACTCCAAAGCAAGTCTGTTAGGTGGTGGCTGTGGCAAAGGTCCTGCCTCCCATCTGCTGGCTCTCCTGGCAGAGAGTATGCCCAGGCAGATGGGGTGGCACTGACTCACAGCACCATCTCAGCAGCCTGTGGGGTTCCTGTGCAATGGCAGAGATGAACGCAGCCTCCCCCGCAGAAAGATGAAGGGAGCACAGCAATGTACCGCTTCCCTTGGGAGAACCCCTCCTGCGTTGAAGGGCTGTAGCTGTTGCAAAGAGGTCATTATTTAAATCTCCTTGCATTAGATTCACTAATTTTTTTTTGTATGCGCTTTAATTACCCTTTTGCCAGGTTACAACATTACAGATGAGGTTTATATACAATACAAACTGCCTTGTAGAAACAGCCACAAAAGGGGAAGAAGCAGCACCCTTATTAAATCAGTTGCCTTTGCTGTAAAATTTGAAGCTAAAAGCTCTTGAGAAATGTTTGATAGGAAGCTCCACTGCTGCAACCTGAAAGGCAAGCTCAGAGAGAGCTTCTGCAGAGTTTATCAGTTATGAAAGAGCTTTAAGTTCTGTGGGAATAAAAGCTGCTGTCTCCATCTAAAATCATTCTTTCATCAGTCCCAGGCAGAAGAAAAAAGAGGCTCTGTAAATGTCCAAATGAGTGATTGCATGGAGCTGGACATTCCCACCCGCATTGGTAACACACATAGGACGTTCTGGTTGAGTCTGCACCTGACCTGGAGGGACTTAGCCCATGGCCCACCAACCACATGCTGCATGCAAAGCAGCTCAGCCACTAGTAGAAGTCACAAAGAGACCAGAGCACATCGCTGCCTGCACTCAAGGCACTTTAGCCCATGGACTTTGGAAAGTTGGAGGCCTGCTTGCCCGAAGCAAGATTCATTCCTCAAGTTTCTCAGTTCACCTTCTGAAGAAACCCACCTCTGCAGTGGTGGCAGAGCATTCAACCTCCAGAAGACCCAGAGGTCAGCTTTTGTTGAACACTTTCGAACCATCAGGCTTCAGGTTTGCTCAGCCTGCCCCTGTGGTTGCCCTGTTCTCTAGTGAGGAACCATTACTTTTTGAGGAACTTGCTGCCAGATTCTGACTACTGCTATATTGATGCAGACCAGGTTAAATACATTGAAAGCCAGCAAATAAACTCTCGAGCCATCCAGCATGCCAACAGTCAGAATCTGACCCATGGGACACTTGGTAAATGCAATCAGTCTGGCTCTTTTTTCTCTTAATAACAACAATAAAAACAACGGACCGACCTTTTCCTCTGATGGATAAAATCCCATTGCTCTCATTACAGAAGGAATTTCCTCCAAGGGAATATGCGTTGACACCTGTCTGGTCTCCAGTGTATCGATACCATGGCTGCGCAGCTGTGCATAGTAAAAATAGTCTTCCAGTTCCTGCGAGGGATTCAAGCAGATACTGTAAAGTTCAGTTACCAACAGGCATAGAAGATAAGACTTCTTTTAAGATTTACTAGCAGGCATATCAATGAGATTGCTGTTAAAGGCAAGCTGGACAAAAAATAAAGAAATGTCAGGCCTGTATAAATTAATCTTAAACTCCAACCAGATGTTGCTAGACAGCGTTCACGGTGAGCATAATTACCCTGAAGAATTCGCCTTCTCTGCCACCATCCAGTAGGTTGTAGAATGGGATCAAGTCCTCCCCACCTAGGGAAGCAGCAGCATCCAAGGCACTGGCAGAAGCAGAGAAAAGAAGGTACAGGAAGGGTTCATGTGAGGAGAGATTTCATGTTTCCCTTTCTAGTCGTTGTTCACAGACACTTTCAATAAATAAATAAAATCCCTGGGCCTCAGAATTCAGGAAGAAAAGCATTGCCTTGAACGGTATACTATTTTATCATCAGCCTGCACTTCTACAGCATATTTCATACCCAGGTTTTACATACAATAGCACAGTGTGGGAATTAATTATTACTGAATGGTCCTCTTGTTTAGTGGAATGAGCACAGGGCTGGGAGCCAGGAGCTTTTCCATGGACTTGAGCTTGGTGTCTGGCATTTAGCTTTCCTGCTTCCTTATAGAGACATTGAGGGAGATGAATTAGCTAGATCAGCGTTTTGAACATGCAGAGAGGGCTGGGGCTTGGTGTTTGCAATAAACCACACAAACCTAAGCTCCCTGTTCCTTGATCTAACACATTCTTCCCCAATAACTCAGTGCAATCCATTACTCTACTTCCTCTGCTGTGGTGGGTGACTGTGTCGCAGGTGCAGTCTACATTAAAGTGAAAGCGTCTGAGTGCCACCTCTTTGTTTCAATTTCATAGGCAGTTGGAGCCAAAAGAATCCGTTCAGCTTGTGCAGATGAAAAAGGAAACCAAGCCTGGTAGTGCAATCATGGCGTAGCATTGCCACATAATACCCCACGCCTGGCAGCAAGGCTGCAGCTTTCATGCACACCTCTGTAGTGCTGCTTCCACTGGGGTTTTTTGCAAGCTTCATGCTTTTTTCGTAATTAAGTTATTTGGGTATTAAACACAGTGGAGATGCACAAGATGCCAGAAGCAGCAATAAAATGATAATTAGCTCATCAAGAGCTTCGCTCCAAAAACAAATTACATAGAAATGCAATGTTGCCTGGACCCTGGCCAACCATTATAAAGAAGGATCATTTATATTCTATTGCCTTCCTTAAAATGTCGCTTATTCTGACCCCCAACCGCTTAAGCCACACAAAGTGGAAAAGAAAATAAATAAGCCCATTGCTTTCCCACCCAGGTTTCCTTTGTTCTGGCACATGAAGGTGAGCTGGCTCAGCACCCTTTGGGCTTTCCTTGGAGTGAGCGGTACCTACAAGAAATGTTTTACACAGGACCAGCATGTGTCTTAACCATGAAGCCTTTGTCCTAGGAAGATGAGGGGCAACGGTGTTTCAGAGGTGCACTCCAAAAGGCAAAAGCAGGAGGGAGGGCTAAAAGCCAGTTCCCGTGGGGTTGATTTGCCAGAAACCTGGGTGACATGCAGAATAAGCCACAGACCGACAGAGACCATTCCGCGCCATCTACCCTTTCTAGCTCCAACATGGGCTAAGCTCCCTTTCCAGTCCTTGAAGCGTGAAGGTGAACTGGCCTGGCAGTTTTCAGCTCATTCACAGCTGCCTGCTCCCTTTCAATGTACACATGTGTCCTATGGGGTGCCTGCAGCCATGCTCAGGAGAGGAGAGCCCTCTGCCCTGCAGGCGCATTGCGATGAGCAGCTTTGGTCCTTGACGTGCAAAGAAACCAAAATATATATCCTGCCTTTGCCGTGTTACCCACCTGCCACGTGGGAGCACGCGTCTGGCACCGCTGCCCAAGGGAGCTGGCAGAAGGGAAATTGCACACTTGTAGAGAAAGGCGGAAGAAACCTGGCAGGGTTTATCACTGACGCTCTGGGCCAGAGCCTGGAAATCCTCGTTTGCAAGAGCAGCCTTCACTCCTCCAGCCACCCCATTTACTGCAGTCCATTTACTCATGTAAGCAAAGCTTTATAGGATTAAGGTGGCTTGTCCTAAATCCAGTCTTCAAATGCAGGGAGGATTTCCTAGCAAATGCTGGCCTATCCCATTTGGAAAGCAGACACTTTTGTATCAGCAGCTGCCCCATATGCTCCTCCTGCAGCCAGTGCCGCTCCTCTGATCCCCTGCCTAACCCCGAAAATCCCCCATCACACTGGCCAAGCCCTCACAAGAACCAGAAAATCCTCTGCTCAACTTCTTACCATTTGGGTACCATTTCCCAGACTGGAGTATTTTATAGGTGCTATGGCCACCGTCTGTGAGATCTGCTGATTTAATCCCCCCTATTGACTATGTGGCTACATCACATAGAGGGAAGCAAAGCCCCCCCCGCCAGACTCTGTCCCTCCTGTTTCAGCTGCTATACCACATAGCTTCTCAGGGCCTGACAGGTTGTTGCAATCTCAGCTGACCCCACTGCCATGCCACCATCCCAGCCTGGTACATGCTGTCTGTAGGTGCTGAGCCAGGGCATTTGGAGAACCTGTGTGAATGCAGGGCATGAGGCTCCACTATTAATAAACCCAGTTGCAGGCCAGGTATCCGAGAGCTGGCACCCCCCAGGGTTGAGCAAAGATGCTGCCAGCCTCGCTTCATCCTCCTCTCAGCAAGTGGTTGGTCTCCTGCTTGCACGAGTGCTGGGACCTGTCCTCCACCCTGTGACCCTCCTTGCCAGATGCAGTTTGTCAGCCTGGTCGCGGGCATGGTGTTGTGGAAGAAGAGTGAAGCTGCACAGCTTTGTCACTTGCCCCAAAAGGACCTGTGCTAAGAAAGCCCAGCAAAGAAACACTCCCCATGCAGCACCCTGCTGTGTTTCCCCATGGGTGCAGCACCACCCTATACACCGGGCTAAGCACAGAAATAGCTGGGAGAACTGGCTTTAACTCCTCTGGACACAAACAGCTGTGGAAAGCCGTAACAAGACTCTGTTCTCCTTCCTGCAGTACTCACTTTAGGTTGACCTTCCATTTCATAAGAGTGCGGTCATTCCCCCCCACTGTAAAGATGTAGCATCCATCATAGGAGCTAGCAAGGTCAGAGACACCATCCGGGTGGCAAATGAAAGCTGAGGATTTGTGGGGGTTGCCATCGACAGGCAAAATCTGCAAGCCCACCTGTAAGGAAAGAGGGAGCCTGGGAGGGCTGGGGGTCCCACAGGAGGGCTGCATGCCAGGGCAGCACTGCATCCTCCTCCCAGGAGCTCGCTTAGCTCTTGGGCAGGACCAGCCTATGCATGGTTTTGTCTGCAGTGAAAGTCCCCCAGGGACCACCACCTCTAGAAGTGGGGGCTCTTGTACAGCTGGGGCGGATGGGGTTCCATACCTTGTCCTTTGTAATGTATGCCAGATAGCGTTTCTGGGGGTCCGTAGAGTTTGTTGGTGGGAGGATTTGTATCTTCTCCAATGCGGAGCCATAGGTTGGTCCCAAAAGGGTCTTTCTAAAGGCAAACAACATTTTCATCCATTTCAGGGCTCACAAAACATTTTCCCTCTCTGAACGGCTGCTGTGCTCAAGGATGGGTAGATAAGGGGAGGTGTGGTGGGTGCAAAGGCTTTGTGCTGCTGGCTGAGAGGACAGGATAGGACAGGGACCCTGGCTCGTATGGACCACACTGGTGCTAAGAAAGGCATTTAGTACTCAGGGAACATTCAGTCCTTGTGCTTTGCTCATGTAGGCTCCTGACTCTTTATCTGATGTCCAACTGCTGTGTCTCAAGTCCAACATGCTGGGCAGACCGAGACACACCTGCAGCCGCAACCTTACTAGATGACACGCTAGTGAACAGCAGAGTGGACACAAGGATGGAGCAACCTGGGGGCCCTAGAGTAATCTCAAGATCTGCATCACAGATGGGCAAACACATGCTCATGGGTGGGAGTAGGGCAGGCATTAGACAGAGGAGAACATAGTCAGGATGGGGGTCCCAGGCAGTGGTAGGCATGAATCTCTCTTCTACCTGCACATTTTGGTCGTCGTGTTGTAGAGCTTCATTTTGTAGCAGTTGTTGGCAGTGAGGATAAAGGACTCAGTGCTGAGCTGTGGGTACCAGGCCAAGCACAGGGGCACGGCCATCTGCTCTATGCGGTCCCTGTGCAAGACCACCAAGTGGTCCTTGCTGCTGCTGTTCAGGTCATATTCAACCTGGAGAGAAGAGAAGGAAACACGGCAACTCCCCTGTGGTCTGCCAGTACCTTGGACCTTGCAGATTAACTGGATCTAGCATCTCTCACACCAACTGGAGCAAGCAGCCCGCAGTAGCAGAGCCTCAGCCCTGAACCCTAGGCAGATCTGCCCTGAGACCAGGCTGAGAAACGACCGCCTGCAATGGAGCTGGTGGGGAGAGGGTTAGGAGCTGCAGAACCAAAGACTGAGTGTCTTCCTCGATACCCTTGTCCAGCCCCCCACTTTACCCACAAAGTTCCACTGCCCTTTACACTTTCACATCAACCTACCAGCTGCCGGTCCTCTCCAAGGCTCAGGAGCCTGGGCTCGTTGCTGTCTAACTGGACCCCAAAGAGAATGCTCCGGATGGGTTTGTAGTGGGAGTGCAGCCCCGCTAGGTGTTCCCAGCATCTGCTCCCATTTTGCAGGACACTCTTGTAAACAGTCACTGAGTATTTCTCATCCTGGAACGACAGCGCAATTGTCAATGAGCCATGATCCCTGGGCACATCCCCTGGCTGGCAGCAGGCAGCTTTGCATGTTCCCTCCAGGCTTAACTCAGCCCTTTCAGTTTTGTGAGTCCCACCAGGAGGGTTAGAGTCACAGCCAGATAAAACACTGGGTCAGACAGATTTGGGCAGCTGCTCCCAAGGGCAGCACTGCAGCGGTCCTCAGCCTGGCCAGAGCATCCTAGCTGGCTGGAGGCCATTCCCTGCCATGCTCTCACAGCAGAAGGGCAGAAAATAGAGTTCAGTGACTCCCCAGAAATCACAAGGAAGGTGCTTCCCACTGCTGTGCCCTGGCATCTGCATGAAGGAGGAGTCTTTTTCTTTGTACAGATCATCCCCAGTTGCTACGACCTCTGTGCCAAACTGCTTCAACGCTGCCTGAACACTTCTGCACTGAGACATGGGACCAAAGGAGCAACCCCCCTTGCAGTGCACCAGCCAAGAGGAAATCCCTGCTCCAGCCCTTTCTACAGATGGATGCAGAGCTAAGGCTTATCACTGAAGTTAGTGATGGGACGCTGCCAGCAGCAGGTCTGTGGAGCGGCTGTGACTGGTGACATTTTTGCAGAGTGACTCTTCAAGCCAGGAAAAGCATTTCAGAGTCACGAAGCCCCTGGGGAGGGACAGCCCTCTGCACTGCTTGATCTGCCGTGTCTCACAGGATGGCTGGCAATTCCCAGTCCCACTGAAAGCTGCACCACAAGCTGCGCACATAAATCACCGAGAGGAAAAAACAAGCTTACAGCAGTTGCGAAGTACTCTGAATCATGAGAGAAGCTAATATGAGTTATGGGACCACGTGAGAACTTGAACTCTCTGCAGCTAGACTGAAGGGAAATGGCATCGAGGATGCAAACGCTTCCATCAGTAAAACCAGCAGCCAGAAAATAACCTGAAAAGCATGCCCAAAAACTCTCACAACACAATCGTTCCTTCCGGGAAGCCCAGTGCTTGGCACATGGGGAGGTCACAAGGCCAGGATACCTTTAGGGTCATAGGACAAGCACTGGATGCCAGACTCAGTGAATATCCTGCTAACGAGGTGCTTGGTCTGCTGGTAGTCCCACACCTTCAGCAGTCCACAGTCACTCCCCACGGCAACAAGGGCCTGCCGGGGGTGACAGGCAACAGCATTCACAGCTTTCTTCGCCTCTTCCATGACTTTTTCAAAGTTTGTCCTGTCTGTTGCAACATGGAGCACAGTTGCATCGGAGGTTGAAAGGATAAAGTTCCTGTTTAGTGTGAGAGAAACAGAATTTGATGATTCAGACTAGCTGGCTCACGTCCCTCCAAGCTATATTACACATCAGTCTCTTTTTGGCAACTTAGCAGGACAATCACTTATATTTTGCAATATGCAATATGCAAACATTTCTTGACCTGGAAGGCAGGTGGCACTTTGTATTCATGACCTGGTAAATCTCCATGGGAAGGCACTGGAGCCATTTTCTACTTGGATAGGCAAGCCAGAAGATGAATGATATCTGTGTAGCTTTTGCCGTTTGCAAGTCACTGGTGTGTGAGACAGACAAATGAGCAATTGAAGATACTCTGAATAGCCTTTTCACATGTCTCCATGTCACCATTGCCAGTGGTTCCATGTTGACGGCAGTGCATGGACAAGGTCAGAGGACAGTTTCAGTCCCGCACCACAAACGGAGCAGCTGCCTGTCTGTTCTTTCAGCCACGCCAACCGTAACGCAGTGAAGAGGGTCCCACTGCATAATTGGTGACATGTAAAGCTGACATCTGAATAATTATGCACATTACAGAACAAATATGTATAGTCATCAGTTCGCCTGGGGACTGAGAGTCTGGGCCCAGTTAAAAGGTCAAGAGAGGACCACACAGAGATCTAGGAGCTGCACAGACAGATGTGCATGGCTGCATCACACAGGCAGCTTGAGTGGGGAAACGGCAGCCTCTTTGCTAGCTGGCCCATGACGGCCATCGGCTTATGTGCATCTGGCCCAGGCACTGAAGGATGCTGCACCTCTTGCATGCCTCAGCTGGGGTCTTCAGCCATACCTGATCCCATCAGCCTGGTGAGATGAGCAGGCTCAAGGCTTCCCCCTTGGTTTTCTGCCTTTTGTGCTGCCCAGAGCAGCTGCAAACGGCAGGAGCTGCAGCAGCAACCCAGAAAGAGGGACAAGAAAACTGAGACCGACAGGGAAAACCAAACTGTTCCCCAGGGCGCTGCTCCAGGCTGGAGAGGAATCTGTCCCATATGGCTCTTTGGAAAACATGTGTGGCTAAGGACAGACGTTGCCAGGAGAGCCTTAACAGGAGTGACAGACATATGGTTTGCAGGCTGGATCGAGCCACAGAACAGCTTCGTCTGGCCTGCAGACTTTCTATAAATCCTCAGACACAGCTACGTCCCACAGAGGAGCAGAAAGGGGCTGGTGACCAGGCTGGGGCTGTCCCAAGCTCCTGGGTCCACGTGGTACAGCCCAGCACTGGTGCTATGACCGCTGGGGCAGTCTCTGCACTGCCACTGTCCCGATTATCTTGCCCAGCCATGATAAAATCTAACTGGAAATAGCCATCCACCGGAGGGGTTTAAGGGTGGGGGGGGAGGATTAAGGGGCCCAGCTGGAGCCGGAGGCTCAGCATTAGCACTGCTTGGTGTGCTGGGTACGTGACAGAGGAGCTGTGCGCCCTAGGACCAGCGGATCACCTCCGTGCCTGCGTTAACGCTTCTCTCACCTGTGCCAAGGCATCACATCAAGTTTGGAATTTAAGATGTGCTGGGCCCCACCCGGGTTTTGGTGGGAGATGCCTGGGGGCTGTGCAGGCAGAGGCAGGCTGCCCAGGAGACATCCCCCTGCTTGTCTCTGGTGGGCAGGTGGGACAAATACCCAAAGTGAAAATCTGCAGAGCGTAAAGGGGCATGTTCCCTCCCTGTCCTGCCCAAAAGCCTGAGTACAGAGTTGAAACCTGCTCCGGCCAAGGCAGAAGCCCATGGGGCAGCTTTCAGATGACCACCTCCCCAGCTTTCAAGCTGCAGGGCAAATACAGGAGAAGACCTGGCTTCATAAAGGGGCACTCACCTGATGACGGAGGGCTGGCTGCTGGGAATGCAGGAGGTGGAGCAGGCTGGGGAGGCACTGGGAGGATCAGGAGGGGTTTTGGAGAAAGAGATGGACCGAATGGGACCCACTTTGCTGTGGCTGTAGCAGGTGAGGAGCTGCAGCTGCCCGTCATAGAATTTAACCTGGCCTTTCACATCACCTGTTACTATGCAGCTACAAGGAAGGGAAAGCTTTAATCAACACACTGATTGAGAACTCCCAAATATTTCTCAGATAGCATCCTTGGGCAGAAGCAAATCTCTTCCCCTTTTCTCTGCACAAGTGCATGAGAAGAGCCCCATAGAGATGTGCAGGGGGAAAGCCCAGGGCTGTGCAGAAACGACCAGGCTCTGCTGTGTCCCTGCAATGTCCCCTGCTCTGTCCCCAAGGCTGTCAAGGCGTTTGGTGGCTGTCTGCTCCCTCTGCCGGTAAAGGCCAGGAGGCTGAGCAAGACTCACCCACGATGCTCCGTGATAGTGGCAATCCAGTGATCTGAGCTACTCCAGCAGAGCTGGGATCACATTACCAGGAGTTTTCAACCTACCCCCCCCCAGCCAAATTCATTGCTTGAAAAAGCCGGAGCAATGACTCATAAATCAGCAGCACTTTCCTGCATTAATTTCCCTGGTCCTCACACGCTGCCAAGTGACTTAAAACTGCAATACTTGGCTCATCAACATAAGCTCTGCCATTCCCACAGCTGAGATGTCCAAGGACTGCACCTACGGCTACTGAAAACTGCCATCCCATTACCTCTCAAACACCTTGAGCACAGTAAGGCTGTCCTTCTGCATAGGCACCAGTTTGGTGGCCTTCATGCTGTGCGGCTTGGCTTGCAGTTCCTTGGAGGGGGTGCAGGGACCGACCACATCCCACACCACCAGCTTCCCAGCAGAGGTGCCCGTCAGAGCTTGGGAGTTGTTAAAATGAAAAACTGACTGGCTGAAGTGTCCCACCACACTGTTGAAGGTCTGCAGAGAGAGCAGCGAGGCCGTGCATTCATCCTCCTCAAGCAGGGACATTTCTGCTTGGTCCCTCATGTGATGTTCCCTCCCTGTCCCTGGCAGGGTCATCAGAGGCAAAAGCCCCAGGAAAAGATGCAGCAGGGCATCTCTGGGAGAGAAAGCCCCTCTTGACCTCAGCTTAGGCAATCCTGGCTTGTCCCTTCAGGAGGCTGAGGGGGACAGGCTGGGGACATGGCCACTGTTTTTGCTTAAGGGGATGGGAAGGGACAGTGCTGCTGCCAGAAGGAAAGCCAAGAGGGTGACATGCTGTGGTCCCCCCTGTGCTCACCTGGCTGCTCAGGAGCGGCGCTCCGTACTGCAAACCGGCATCGTCCTGGAGAAAGTGGAGAAAATGTCCAGGACAAGCATTTTGGAACTGTGCTCTGTAGTGCCAGTGTGTCCCCTCCCCATCACCCAGGCACTGGCCCCGCACCGTAGTAACCAGAGCAGGGCTCCTGGGGCAGAAAGGCTCCAAGACCTTCCAGAGAGCACAAAACACCCTCTCCTCTCCCAAAAGCTGCTGACTGGCACGAGGCACACAAAGGGCCCATGGGAAAGCAGGGGTGGCAGAGGCGGAGAGCATCCCTGCCACAGCTGGGACCGACCCCAGTGTGGGAGTGGAGGGAGAGTGACGGTCTGCCCAGATCACCTTCGAGTCTAGTGAGGACAGGGGGTGGGGAGGGTCGAGGGGGGCAAGGGCAGGGGCAGATCTGCAAAACAAAGTGAGACCCCAGTTGTGGGCAGACATCCAGCTCCGCAGCCCACATTGCTTTGCTAGTGTGCGGCCCCCTGCACCACCTTCCAACCCTCTGTGAGCGCATCTGGCACCAGAAATACAACTTCCTATGTCCCTACTTACCCACAGGTAAAATATCACCTGGGTTTTGCTGTTGCTAACAAACTCACAGGGATTTTGGGGGTTAAAAATTACATAATCCTGAAATTAAAAGGTTAGAATCATATTAATACCAGGCTAAGCAATGCTTTCTGCTTATTCTTTCATGCAAAACATCTGCTTTTATCCAAAGCCCGCTTCACCACCTGCACCGAACTGAAAACAGAGGCCAAATTCCCTGTGAAACACCAGAGCTGTGCTCTCTCCTCTGTGAGCAGGGACAAGCCAGCAGGGCCATGGGCTTTTCCTGCCATGAGCCCTGGCCAGTGCCAGGGCTGTGGTGGAGGACATGCCACCAGGGTCCCCTCCACATCCCATGTCTGTCAGGCAGCAGAGGAGCAGCAATAACAGCCCCGAGACGCTCCACTGCATTGGGGTGCAGCAGGGATGGGGTGTGATCCTGCCTCGATCTCCAGCCAGCATCTACCAGCAGCCCCATACTGGATGAGGGCACTGGGGATGCCGGGAAGGGGGGGAGCAGGTGAGGACAGGGCTGCCCAGTCCAGCCCAGTCACAATCCTCTGCACCCCTCGGCCGCAGTCACTCACCTGATGGCCAAACTCAGGCCTCAGCTCCGTGCTGCACATGGGTTTCTCTGTGGGTGAAGTCCACTTCCAAACACAAACTCTCTGGCAGAGAAGGGAAAACCCAAGGGATGTTTGTGGCTTTCTGGGAGCTCAGGGGAGCCAGGTGAAGCCCATTCCCTCCAGCTGCAGGGGATGGGGAGGGTATAAAAGACTGGAGCAGGATAAACCCAACATGTCCTGGCAGCACAGAGCTTAATTTCAGGAAATAATGTTAGAAATTGCTTCAATGAAAGGCATTGGATTCAGAAGCTTTTATCCTAGCTTAAGATCCATTTTCTTAACTCCACAGCATTCACTTTAATGAAATCCAGGTCTGCCTTCCAGTGGCTTGGCAAAACCAAACCATCACTCTGCAAACCTGCTCCACCTCTCTTCTGCTCGCCCCAGCTGAATTCCCCCCTCCCCTTCACTGCACTAGGAAAAACTTCAGGGATCTATCCTACAAGGCTACAAAAGAGGAGATATTTTCTTTACCTGCACTGTACCAGCACTAATGGTTGCCAAATACTTTGCATCCTGGGAAATAGCAATAGCACTGACCCCATCCTCTGGATGGCTCTCAAAGATGGTGCGCACCGGTATCCTACGGAGCAAAGTCCTCATGGGGGGACTCATGGCAGCACAGTGGGTTCACGGCAATTGCTTGGCAAATCTATGGCACAGCCCACCCCGGTCTGCATGGCGGGGAGGGATTCTGCAACCGCCGGCGCTGTCACCGCACCTGAAGCGGGAGCAGCCAGCACCGCAGCTGGTGCTGAGCATCCTCTCCATCCCTTCCTCCCAAGTAAATGGCTCTGGGAAACAAGTCACCAGTCATCTTTTAAGAAAATACTACAGCCTGGAGATGTGATGTAATTCTTAGTCTGGGGGAGCTCAGCCCCATCTCGGTGTCCCGTGGGTATGGGTGATATGAGGATGATGAAGCCCTTGGTTCACTTTTGGCTTCTTGGCCACTTTACCCCATCCCCACGTTTCTCCCATTTGACTCTCAGCTGAGGCTGGAGTGTCCTAAGCGATTTACCAGACACAGGAGGTTTCCAAAGAGGAGGTTCCAGGGAGCTTACCCGGAGAAGGAGTCCCACACAATGATCAGAGCATCTGGCCCTCGATCGGCGGTTGCCACCCAGCGTCTGTCTTCACTCACGCACAGGCAAGAAATGACATTAATGTGGCCCTGGGGAAAGAGAAGCAGCAAAGTGCCTCGAAGACTCCAGACCTGATGGCTAAAGCATTCATCAAACCGCTTTGCTCATGAGCTCCCCTTGTCTTCCCTCCCAAGGGTCCTCCACTCTCATTCTTCCAGCCCAACTTTTGCACCCCATTTCTCACAGGCTCTTCCGAGCCCATCACCCTGTCCTTGTGCTTTGCGCTGACTGCAGCTCCCCCAGACAAGAAGCAGCGGAGAGGAGGGGCCATGCTGCATGTGCCGCTCATGGTCACTGCTGCAATCCAACACAAAGCACCTTCCACCAACACGTGCTGGGAATTGCAACAGGCGTGCAAGCAAAACGACGCACTCCTTTGCACGGGCTGCTCCTTGGTTCCGTTATGGGTGGCACCTAAGCACCAGGAGAAAGAGACAGAAGGAGAGAGTTCGGGAGAAGGGAAGGAGGAAGATGCGCGGGCTGCGTGCCAGACCTGCAGGTGGGACTGCCTGTTCCCCAGGACATCGTGGATGACCACCGTGTGGGAGGAGACATACAGGAGCACCCGGTCCTCCCCGTCCATCAGGCTGTGCACAGCCAGGCTGCTGTTGTAGCCCAACACCCAGGACAGGCTCTGCAGGGAAGAGGCAGAGCTTTTGTCCCTGGCACATAGCGGCCGGGACAAAAAAAAGCCACAAAATGCCTCTGCGGTGATGGGAGAGAGCTGGGCAGGAGTACTGTGTGTTGTTTGGACCATCATGATGGCACTGTGCCCACTGATACTCACGAGGGGGTGAAGTTTGGTCTGCTTGTCCTCCTGGAAGAGCATCCCTGGCGTGGCTGCCCACACCAAGCTGGCAGAGCCATTGCACCCATCGTCCTCCCCGCTCCTCTCTTGTGTTTCCTGCTCCCTGCAGCCTGAACGAGGGTTGGAAATGGTCCCCTTGGGCTCAGGCAGTGCTGGGTATGGTCCAGGGGGTCCAGCACCCTCCAAAAGTGTTGTCCCAGCAGTGTCTTCTCCCAGGGCAGTCCTCAAGGCGGTCGTGTCTTGCCTCGCAGCCCAGGTGCTGGGCAGGGTGTCTGGGATCCCCATCCCTGAAGGAGACCACGGGACACCCAACAGTGGATCTGCTCCAGCACCCTCTGGTGCTCCTTTCTTCTCCTTGGCAGCAGCGAGGGGGTCCTTGGAAAGGGAGAGAGGTTTCTGTGCGCACTGGCTCCTGGGCTAGTCTGCAGCTAATGGGAATGCACCCCAGCATGTCTCAGATCCAACCTACGTCACTCAGGGCAGGCTCTGATAGCAAGATACTCCTCTGCTCCTAAACTGCCTATGGATTTGTACCAGGGAAAAGTTTCCCACCAGTCGCTGCTTATCTTTCTGCACATCTGATCCTGCCCTCTTTGCACATCCACAGCATCCCGGATCTCACACTAGAACCTCTTCCAGGCAGCTTCTATCACCTGGGCTAAGATGCCCGAGTTTCTTCTCCAAAACTAACTTATGAGTCCTTTGAAGGCAGAAAGTCTGGCCTTTTTGCTCTCCATGTCCTGACTATTCCCCGTGGAACAGTTATTGACTGTTGCAAGGGGCACATGGTCATGGGCTGGTGTCCTGGTTTTGGCTGGGATAGAGTTAACTATCTTCCTAGTAGCTGGTACAGTGCTATGTTTTGGGTTCAGTATGAGAAGAATGTTGATAACACACTGATGTTTTCAGTGGTTGCTAAAGAGTGTTTACACCAAGTCAAGGATTTTTCAGCTTCTCATGCCCAGCCAGCAAGAAGGCTGGAGGGGCACAAGAAGTTGGGAGGGGACACAGCCAGGGCAACTGACCCAAACTGGCCAAAGGGGTATTCCACACCATGTGACGTCATGTCCAGTATATAAACTGGGGGGATTTGGCCTGGGGGGTGATTGCTGCTCAGGAGCTAACTGGGCATTGTGCATCACTTGTATATTCCAATCCTTTTATTATTATTATTTTCATTTTATTAGTGTTATCATTATTAGTTTCTTCCTTTCCATTCTATTAAACTGTTCTTATCTCAACCCACTTTTTTTTTTTTTCCCGAATTCCCTCCCCCATCCCACTGGGGGCAGGGGGGAGTCAGTGAGCGGCTGCATGGTGCTTAGTTGCTGGCTGGGGTTAAACCACAACAGCTGGAAAGGGAGTGATGGCAAATTGAGGTTAAAACCAGGGGAATCAAGTCCTGGGACCAGGGCTGAGATGGCTGCAAAGGGCTCTGCAGCAATCCCAGCTCTGCTGCCAGTGCCTCTTGCCATACTGCCCAGTGAACATACAGAAAGCGAGGGTAAAAATCCCACCACCACCTTCCTCGGCCCTTCATCAGCCTGTTAATAAATGTATTAAATAGCCCTGGGGTGTCAGAGCTTGCAGCAGCCCCCAGACAGGCTTTCCCCAGTCTGAGCACTGGCCACTTAATTCTTGTTCTTGGGATCCACATCAGCTTTTGCCTCTGCCCCCAGGACTACTTGGTTTCCTATAGCAATCTCTCATGCAAGGTATAAACCTCATTTGGACACCGTTTCTGTTTCCAAGGGAGGTAATATAACGTTTTGTTCAGCATGGGGACGAGGCCAGGTTCCCTCCTGCTCATGTAACTCTCGGGCAGCTCAAGTTCTCAGCAAATATTGATGGCTGGCCTGAGACTACGCAGAGATACTGCATCTGCCGAGCCCTGCTGGCAGGGTCCCCGCTCCCCCTCCCCAGGGACGTCTCAGGAGAAACCATGCCTGGGAGACATTACCCCTTGGTCCTGGAGTCAGGGGCTCTGCTTCCGTCAGGACCTGCCCTCTAACCCTGTGTCAGGCAGGGTTTGTGGTGGAGCTGCCCTCACCTGCTCAGGCAGCACGGCCATCTCCCGAGCTGTCTGTCTGTCCTGGGATGTCTCCTTGGGCTCGCTGCTTACTCCATCTCTTCTCCTGCTTGGGTCGTCCAGTGTAATTTCATGTGAACCATCCATCCTCACCCTCCTTCCAGGGAGCTGGGGCACAGAGATGCTCTGAAATACATACAAACACCCCCCCACACACACCCCCCAGGGCTTGGCTGCACAACAACCTGGAATTTGGCACAGCCAGAGGAAAGGGCACTTGTGAAGCTGGGAAACTGGTGCCAGAGCCCCTTTTCAGCTCCAGCAACGCTCCCACTGAATGCAAGCCAGCCCAGCACAGCCCTGGTTACTCCAGCTGAGATCAGGCTCCCTCCCTGTCTGTCCGCATGCCGTGCTGGGCATGGACATTTCCCCTCAGATGGGGTTTTGTCACCGTCCCTGTAAGCAGCAGGGCTACTCCTGGGCAGCAGCTGGTTCATCTCTGGCTTCACGGCTCTGGATTTGAGCTGACACCAAAATCTTACACATAGAAAGCTTTCACAGGAGTGGAAAGGGGGCCCTGGGAAAAAACCCTCCCTCTGGCCCTGGCAGGCAGGACGGGTGCTGAGGGACAGCCACAGCCCCACGGGTCTCACCGGGGTCACTGCCGAGCTCTTCCCAAGCCCCATCCAGGCCTTGGTGCCTCCCCAACTGTCCCATCCTCCCACTGCCCCGAGGGACCCCCTGGGGACCCCACAGCTCACCGGCACACCAGGCCCTGCTTCTGTTTGCATCCGACCGCTGTTCCCAAGCAACGGCTCCACCGGCTGCGCCAACGGCTGCGCCAACGACAGCCCGGAAAGCACGGGGCTGCATGAGCAGAGAAGGGGGGACCCTCCTCATCCCCACTGGCTGCCATGGAGAGGCAGCGCTGAAACCCTGCCCAAAGCAGAAACCTGGTGGTGTTGGGGGACATTCAGCCCCACGCCGTGCCCAAGCCTAAATCCTGCTCGTGGCTGTGACAAAGCCCTTCTTGGCATCGCCAGACTCCTTTGGGACTGAACCCTCGCCCTGCCTGGGGAACGGGATGAGGGTTCTTTACCCGATGCCCCCACATGCGGGGTTGTGTGCAGCTTCTGCTCCCTTGGCACCACCGAGCAGGACAAGTAGAGTCAAAGCAAGAAAAAACAGCTGCCAAACACTGCCAGGTCCCCCCACGGTCCCCAGCTCTCTGCCAGGATGGCACTTGCACAGGGGACCCCATTCCCAGGGATCACTCCAAGCTATTGCCTTCACTACCACAGATAATGAGCTCTAAGCACTCCCAACTGTTGACTTCAACCTTGCTGTTAAGCTCAAATAATAAAAATTTCTAGATCTAATTTGTTTTTCCTTCTGCCCACCGAGAGCATCGTACCCTGCTGGGAGAGGAAAGGAGGTGTGGGGTTTTTTTGTTTGGTTGGTTTTTTATCAGCTCACATTATTTCCTTGACCTGAAGAGGCTGCTGCGCAGGCAGGTCATCAAAATGCGGCTGCTCTCAACTCCTCCTCTGTGGCACAACCCGCTGCTCCAAATTGGAGGAGTTTTACGGCTTCAGGAGCAGGGATTTGATCCTTAAGCCCCATCTCTGCTAGGTGCAAGAAGGCAGCCTTGTTCAGTGCATCAGCACCTGCACATCAAGCTTGCTCAGACATGGTGCTTTTGTTCCCACCCAGCAGCATCAAGTCCACATTCCCTGATCATACAGAATACAGGGAGTCACCTCTACTCTCCAGCATGAAAATCCTGTTTATTCTGAGAGCAGCTCCTCTTCTGCTCTGGTCCTACAGCAGAGGTTTGAGCATGGTCTAAGGAAGAAGCCCAAACCTTACCTACCTACAGTGGGTTTCGCAACATAATCTGTGTTTATTACACTCATTGGGATCATTCAACCCGTTCTAGTCAGGACACACAACCAGAGGGGCTGGGGACGCAGCGGTTAGGACATAAGGTTACAGGATGCACTTCTACAAAAGCCCCGCAGAGCTAGGAGCCAACTGAAGCGTGCAGACACCCTCCACGTTGAAAGGGAAATGAGCTGCCCCAGAGCAGGAATTATGGGGCTAGACTGACCCCCTAACCTCATTTCAAGAGCGGTACAGAAAGCTGGGATTTTCTAGATCATTTCATCCCAGAGGGCACAAATGCAAAGGCCTGGAAGGATGTGTCCTGCAAGCTTTTCTTCTCCTGGACTGGTATCTAGACCCAGATTCATCTGCAGCTCAGGTAAAAGCTAGCCACAGCTGGGATACCTAGACACATATCCCAAGTACACATGGCAAAGGCCAGCCCCTGACACTGCAGCTGCCAATTGATACCCAATTTATCCACATACTTACACCTACATTCCATTTTATGGGGACAGAAGACAGGGGCAGCTTGCGGACAGTCACACATTTAAAAACTGCAGCAGCACCTACAAATATGAAAACCCCTTTTGCAAAAAAACAAAGCTCGTAAACCTGATACAAGATATATTTAAAAAAAAAGAACAACCTTGTTTTACACAAGTCTTTTGACACTGTGGTCCCATGCACAGACTCAGCCCTCCTACAGAACAACCCCATGGAGGTACTTACCTTGTAACTACAGACAGGGACATGACACTGCTTTCTAGTGGGATTTCACAGGGGATTTAGGAGATGCAGTGTCCTTTGTGGGTCACAGCACCTGGTGAAGTTCAGCAGTGCAGGCTTAGCCTCAGAATGGCTCAGGTAAAGCAAGGCAGGATGCACATGCGACAGAAGGTCCCAAAACACCTCCTATTCTGCTATTTTTCAAGAAAAGAGATGGAGCAGACAGTGCCATGTTTCAGCACTTTTAAAATTACTTGAAAGACCAGGGCGAGACTGCGTTTGATGGGGATTACCTAGATACAATCTCATCCAAGGAACACTGCCATGGGCTGCTGCAGTAACGCTTCCTCCATAGCACTGTGAAACCTGCAGGAATCACCACGCAAGGAGCTTTGCTTTGAAGCTTTACCATTTCAGCAAGAATCTGCTCTGTTGGACTGTATGGTGAAACACAAACGCTTGAAATACCAAAAGAGTAAACCTACTCAATTTAAAACAGAGCCCTGTGTGAATGATTTAAAAGTCTGGGGTTTAGTCCACTTTTTCAGCCCATTTCAGGTATGGTTAATAACAGTTATAACAAAATTGCTCATTACATGTGATGTGTTACTTATGCCGCAACCTGCTTGTGAAGCGCTAGTGAATACTCACACCTTACCTGGGCTTTGGCTCTGGAAGGTCAGGGGGTCATGGTTTTGTGTCTGTGCAGATCTGCGTTTAACCCACCCAACTTGGCCTGCAATTATTGCCCAAAATAATAACTTATACAAGAATGGAGAGAGGCATTACTCAGTTTTATTGTTTTGGGAGAGTATTTTGAAGTTGAACTGGAAACAAGCTTAAAACAAACCAATCATACCCAAAATCCCCTCAAAGAGTTTATACACACTAAAACCAACTACCACAAATAAACAAATTAAAAAAAAATTTAAAAAAAAAAAAAAAGGAGAAGCCAGATTAGGAGTACTTTTATCACGACTACACAAACTACTAAAAGTAAATCAAAGCAGAATTAAAACCCCTATTCCTTATCTCATTAACTTAAAATAATTAGGCGTTCAAAAAATTCTTTCATTGTGTTTAGTGACTTCAAATGTTGTGGTAACATGGGGAAGATGAAGTATCAAACTTGCCTATTTCTTGACTGTCATCTGTTATAGACACCAAAAAGTGCTCCGGGACTTTTTAGCATATATTACAAAGTGTTCAGTGAGGAATTTTACAGGGGAAAAAAAGGAATGCTCTGTTATCACCAAGTAAGAGTATTTCATGCTCTTTAGAGCCTGTATCAAGTGAAGTTTGGGACTCTCTATAGTCTCATTCCAAACTGATACAAAGTATAAGAGATGAGAAGCCACATCTTGCAACTCTGCAAGCTGCTCCTGATGAACCAGTGCAATTCTGAATTGCAGGCAGGCCCTGCCCTATCAGAACCTCTTCAGACTCTGCAAGTCAGACACCTGGAGATCACAGCCTCCGAAACATTTGTTTCAGCAAAAACACGTAGGGAAGTTTTCAAACCAGATCAGAGTCCAGAAGGCAGGCACAAGCTTCAGCTTTATTGTTTTCCAAGCAATGGTCATCTTTGCAAGGGAACAATATTGCAGCTGAAAAAGAAGAGGGTAGAAGGAAACATTAAAATCTCAGACCTCAAACAGGCATAGAAGATCTGACATGGCACAAATCAGACCCACCGCAACCCTCCTCCATCGGTTTCCTCTACCAGACACACTAGCCCCTGAGACCTTCCTCCCTGTGCTCATGTTTGATGCAACTCGCCTCCCCATATCGCTGTGCAAAACTGTCAGCCTCCAGCTCTCAGCTGGTACCTGCCAGTGAAGTCCGTCAGAATGGGCAGCAACACACACTGAGAGCAAAGCACAGAGCTGGCCCTGCTGCTGGAAATGTGCTCTGAGCTGGCTGAAAGCCTCATCCGTTCTAGTAAGTGAAATAGCAGCTTACCCCAAGAGGCCCTTCCCAGCCCAGCGCTTTGGAGTCAGCCCCACATGCACTTTTTTGCCGCTGCGGATGACAGTCACACTCAGGGGTCTCTGAAAGGGAGAAAAAAAAAACAAAGAAAAAAAGGTGGCAACTTTCCATCACCAAGTCAACTCTCTTCTTCCTTCTTTTGCTGAAGCACCAGAAGAACATTAGGCCCAGGGGACCTGTTCTTCAGCAGCATCCATTCCCATCCCTGTGACTAGATCTGAAAGAAGAGAGTGTTTTGTGTGGAGACATCTCCAGGAGATCTCTCACTTCCACTATAAAGCAGTCGATGGCTGTGGCAGCTTCCCTGGCCAGTTCACTAAGGTGGCACAGCAATGCAGCCTGCTGCTGCAGAGAGTCCCCAGGGGAGAACAGACAACATGATGCTCACAGCAAAGAGCACACACCTCTTAGCTCTCTTCTGTCCAGCAGGAATTAGCTCAATGCTGTGAGAGAACAGGGCTACAACAGCACAGACTGAATCTGACACTGTTTGTGACATGGAAATGATGATCCCAGAGACCTAAGTTCCATAGAAAAAGCTGTGGCTAACAGAGACAGGCAAGAGTTCTGCAGTTACAGCAGAAATGAACTCACCCCTTCGCTGTGCTGCACTACTGTAGCGATGTTCTGCAGGTTCTGGAAGTTGTTTACATTGACAGAACCAAACTCCACAATCTCATCATCGACCTGAAGTCCCTGGACAGAGACAGAAGAGACATGAGCACCTGTCTTCTCCAAAGACAGCTCATATCACAGAAGCATCACCCTTTACCCAGGCTCATGGAGAGAGATGTGCTACGACACTACTGTTCTCACCATTCAGGCAACTGAACCGTGTTACACCCTCCCCATGTCCTTAGAAAGAGGTAAGTACTCATTCCGTTGTTCTATTTTATGGAAAGAGAAATATTGAGGCTAGAATGGTCAGTGAGGCCTGGTACGAGCTGTGTGGTGCAATGATACAGCTGAGAAGAGAGTACTCATCTCATTCCCGTACAGTGACTTGTCTATTCACAGGACATCCGAGTGTGACAAAAAAAGGGGGAGGAGGGCCCTAATCAAACCCCCAACTTATTCCCACTTGTTAACAAGAGACAGAGAAAGCCACCTGCTATGTTTTCTCTCTGGATCTGGAAGAAGCCTTCCCTACGAGCTGTCAGACCCCACCAACTTACCGAGATACTCGCCGGAGATCCCGGAGTCACTGCGTTCACTTTAGCAAAAGCCTGTGGCAGGCGCTGGTTCTGGCTCATTGCCTCGGCCAACGCCTCCGCCTCATCCCTGGCATGCTTCTCCTTCTCCCGGGCGTGCAACTGGTGAAGAGCTTCCTCCACCTGCTTCATCAGGGCCTTGTGATCATTCTGCAAACCTGTCGGTGACACCATTAGCAAACAAGGAGCAGGAGTGAGTTACATCTAAGGGTTTGTTCTCAGCACACTCTCTCCTCCCCAGCTGTGCAGAAAATAGTATTCCGGGTGTCTCGGATGTGAGCTGTGGCTAGCAATAACCTCTGCTGGTGTATCTGCTGGGTCCCAGTGCCAGGCCTGCTCACACAGCCTGGCGGATGTTTATCGGTAGAAGTTAGACACAGAGATAACTATCCTACAAATTTTGGTGAGCACGCAAGGAAGCAGGGCTTGGAGGACCACGATCACCTAGAAATCACTGAGCAGCTGAAGTCTTTTTTCCATCAAGTCACATACTGTTGCGTATGTATTGCAAAAGCCATCCTCAAAGATGGGGCATAGGGGAAGCCTGGGAAGAGATAAATGCCAAGCTGTTTTTTACTCAAAGCTCATTCTACTAACACCACCGCAAAAACGCTTCGGTGTATCTCATGAATCCCAAATGCCTCCACAGCAGACGCAGAATTTCAACACTGCTGCAACAACGTGTGGACAAAAGCGTTTTACTGGCGAAGCCGATCCCCACCAGCTACGAGCACAGAGCAAAATCACCGAAAAACAAACTCGGAGCAACCCTGGCTGCCAGTTTTTGAAGAATTGCAGTGAACAGGCAGAAGGACCCGGCGTTTGAGATACTGGAAAGGCTGCACAGTTACTAGCAGGAGTGTTTACTGCAGCAGCAGCAGAAGCCTGTAGCCCTCCCCCACAACCCGTTTTTGCTGGTTCACGCCTGGAGGAGGGGGACGCTCCCCTGCCTCCCCCCAGCCGGGATCCCCACTCACAGATGATGTTATGCCGGGCGGTGCGCACTTGGTAGAGATCGATGTCGTCACGGGGAAACCCCTCCGCGTCAACCAGCGGCTCGTTCATCCCGACGCCCTTTTGCTGCGAGGGAAGAAGCGGCCGTGGGGCTGCGAGCCGAGGCCGCAGGCCGGCCCCGCGCCCCACCGCCGCCCCC